AGTCGGCTGAACCGCGTTTTATTTTGGTCAGCAAATAAAAAATACCTTGCACATGAAATTGAATTTCGGGCTTGCATACCATAAGATTAGCAGCAACATCCGAATAAGTGCAGTGACACGCAGTGACGTCCGCAAATACGGACCTAAAGTAATCATTGAAGGTGTTAGCCTCTTTGTTGTCATCTGATACAAGGTTACCATCGACGATCAAAGACGGACAACCTACAGTATCCTTGCGATTAGACCTAAGGAACTTCCAAAGCTCCTTAGGGTTCTGTTTGAGCTTGGCATTCAGCAACGCGAAATAATTTGCTCGGGACGAAGCGGTGGCACGTTTAAGAGATCCTACCTCTATTAGTTTCTTATATGATGCGGAGTCATTGCGTATGCGTATTGTTTCAGTGCACGTTTATTTTTATTTGCGAGCTTGCGCAGCTCAGAATTAAACCATGGTTTGTCACGACGTCGCTTGGACGTAAAAACTCTAGATGAAACTACAATTTCAAGAAGAGTTGTTAATCTGGGCTTTGAAAACGTTCCATAATAAATTATAGGTCACCCGCTGTACCGATTTCTTTAAAGACAGGAAGTAATGAACTGAGGTTTAAAGATAACCCAACATAATCCCCTCTATCAATTAAATACTTTCTTTGGACGAAGCAAAGCACTGCGTTCGAATGAACAAGTCAAATTCGCAATCACGGCCTTATAGACAATTAGATCGGGGATGACTGTTACAGCAGAGATCGCCGTATCATGATTGCTAAAAAGAAGGTCAAGGATGCTAGATCGACTGGCACAAATCCTTGTGGGCTCCTGTACAAACTGCTTCAGGCATTAGTCGTTGATAAGGTTACTAAAATTTACGCCAGAAGAGCTAACAGTCAAGGGATGATCTAACCATTGAAAGTCGGGTAAATTAAAGTCACCTCCAACCGCGACAAAACTATCACCGACAACAGATAAATCATTATACAAAGAAAAAATTGGGTTAACGTCACTTGCCTGGGGTCTATAAAGACAGCCTATAGTAAGATAATCACCATTTTCAAGATAGACGCGGTACCAGACAGTTTCACATGATAAGCCACTGAAATCAATCTTGCAGGCTTTTAAACTTTCATGAATGAGCAAAAAGTCACCACCACCGGAACCATTCCTGTCTTTACGATGCACAATGAAATTGGGCGGAAAAACTTCAAGATAGGAAATAAATTCTTCAAGCCAGGATTCAGTCCCGATAACAATACTAGCAATAGGGATAGAAATCAAAGCAGCAAGGTCGTCTCCTTTGTTTCGAACGATTTCATTTCATTTCATTTATTGTTCCCTTAAAGCGCCCGTAGGGCTTTACATAAGGGGGGGCTTTGGCAGCAAACAAAAACAAACAAAGAAAGGAAAAAACAGGATTAAAGGTTGCTAAATATCGAGAAAAGTAGCAAGTGCAGCTCTGAATCCAGATGAGTCTTGAATTGTAACAATATGTTCTGGCAGAGAGTTCCATTCTGAAAGTGATAATTGCAGTGGAGAGAATTTAAAAAGGTTGGTCTTTGGTGTTACCAGATGAACTTTCTGAGAATGGTCTGTACGAGGAGAAATTACGACGAAAGTACGACAATTAACATTTTTAATTACAAGATTATTAAAAGGTACAGTGTGGTAAAGTCCAGATCTCTGTGAGTGTTAAGTAGCGTTACTTTTTACAGACTGAGTGGTTGCATCAACGTAATAGGTCTGATCACCAATATGTAGATGATTATACCTAAGCCGAAACTTGACATTTTTTGGCCTTTGGAAATTATAGAATAATTTTTCGTTCATTACGGATCTCCGATAAGAAATGTTCAATAAGTGGGAAACCAGTGTCATTAAGCGTGGACCCTAGGAATAAAATATCCTGTTTCAGCTTAAACGACACGAACTTCGCAATTAAAGGCCTGCTATGGTTTGGCCTAAATACTCCCAGCCTATGAGACGTTCCAAGCACGAAGAATTCCTTTCCACTCCCAGAACCTCCTGGCAAAGTGAGACAACTTTAGCCTCCGAGACAGACCATGTTTCGACCGCAGAGTCATCAATTGCATAAAAAATCTAATTCTACCTCAGAGAATGGCTCTCGAAATTATCAGACTGCGAGGACAGGCTTTTGACTTGTGCAGCCAACCGAATAGTGGAGGCATCAAAACTGTCCATATCAATCTGTAACTGCGGCAACGAGGCCAAATTAACCTCGACAGTCGTGAGTCTCGTCGTCAGCTCTCCTATTTTTACATCTAAAGAGTTCTGATTGGTTTCAATTGTCATTGATTCATTTAGAAGCGCAGCCTGACCTGCTTGAAGTTGGAATGGAATAGCCAGACTCTGCAGCATAAGTTGTTCCTGAGCTTCCGTAAGGGGACCTGAATTAGTCTCAACGACTCCCGCAAGTAATAGGAGAAACTTTGTACAATCGGACAAATCACAAAAAAAAAAAAAACACTGCTCGTGCACAGCAGCAAGACAAGGCATCTATCGTCAGTTCGAAACATAGATACGTTAAATTAGATACATTAGATACTAATATTCAGGCGAGCACACCCTCATAATCCGATTGGCTGATCGGTATTGATTGCCATGGGAATTGCCATTTCGGTGCTTTGAAATCTTCGAAGCTTCGAAAACGCCGTTCTGAACCAGATAGCCGCGTTCCTCGCTAATGTAAGCGTCTTTGGCAAGCAATCAACTCATCAATCACGCGTATCTCCCCGGATCAGTTAAATAATATCGCTCATCCGCGTATTTCAAGAGAGGACAATTATTTTTAAATGCCGCCAAGCACCAACGCCGCACATGGTGGAGGAGTGAAGGTGTGCATTTGTTTCTATGTGGATAACAAAACGTCACTTACAAGAAATCTCGCCGCGGATTCGGATCGGCTCACTAAGTCTGGAGAGGTCAAAGAGAAACTGCTCATTCCGTGGACTTAAATGGCGACGATGCGGGAACCTTGGCCGCGGATATCGGCAGTAAACTGGTGAATGCGGACAAAAATGATTCAGATTTGGCGGATGGCGGATCGGATGCGGATGCCAGGGGCTACGGATACGGATATCCGCGGGTATGGATCTACATTTTTGCCGAGGCGGCCCATAAATATGTGAAACCGCACAGTGTAGAGTAAATAAGTCAGTGATAATATGAATTGCATCGTCGAATGTCTTGCGGGAGAAAAGTACTCTCTTAGGTAAAAGGTGCCAATCGGGGACAACATTTCTTCTTTACGTCAAGAAATATCTGAGAGATGTGATTCTCACTAAAGATCGCTTTAGAATGTTCTATCTCGCCAAAAGTGCTGTCCATAGGAACAGTAAACAATACGGGAGAATCAGTCGTCCCGGAAAAGCATGTTCTAGTTTAGCAAAGAAAGAGCGGAAACTCTGGAGTGGTGGAACTTCCACCAGCACGACTTTCCGTACCTCACTCTTGTAGCGCAGTTCGTGCACGCCATCCCAGCATCAAGTGCACCAATGGAGAAATACTTTTCAATAGTCACACTCAGAGTGCAGTTGCATGCACTCATTTGGAAGGTCCTGCTTCGTGTCCATCGATGGTGTGGGCGTATTTTGCCGACGACTAAGGTTTCCTAAGCAGGACTTTATCCTGCAAGACTCCGTTGTAAAGTCTGCGCATTTATATGGGAAGTTCAACCGCACAAGTAGCACTGCTCGCAAGGTTGATACAAGAAGGCGAGACTTCTCGCTTGTCCACATGGAGTTTGTAATTGAAAAGACGCGCTCCACTGGAGCCATATGGTTCCAAGGAAGCAGAGAGCCAGTTCCACGACCCAAGAAATCTCGGTGCAGCATATATTTTCTGTTTTCACCTCTTTAAAGACTTGCACCCATCTCTCACAGACTGTAATACCCGAAGATTTCCGATCTTCTAGTTTCTTTTTAATGCTTTTATTGACAAGGGTTCACCGGTGAACACACACGTGCGTTTCTTCGCCATTTTCCAAAAATAGTGCAGTGTTGTCAACCGTTCTACACACGTGTCTCTGCGAAAGAAAAGGTGTTTGTGGGCAAGAACAGATTTAAATTTTACTCTCTGAGTAAATATTTTAAAGTATCTACGTTTTTTTTTTTTGTTATTGTTGTTTTTTTTTGTGGAAAATATACTTGTAGTGAGTAGGCATATTTTCGGCTTGCTTCAACTGCGCACTGCTGCGAAAACGGGACGAAAAGACGGGTCGGCGGAAGCGGACCTGTAAAATGGGACTGTCCCGGCCAAAATGGGACGTCTGGTCACCCTAGTTTTATCCCAAACCCTAGCGTCACATTCTCACGAAGTTGCAGCTTCTGGCTATGCATAGTTTATTTACACGGGCCAAGAAACACAGTTCTTTTTTCGCGAGAACACCCGGTAGTTGGCCATACAAAGGAGCAGCAGCTGGCACAATAATAATGATAATGTTATGTATGTTTGTATAGCCAGAAGCTAGTCAGCCTCAATGGACGCAGTGCAGTACAACCGCTAGCCATGGGGTCTTTAACATGCACCACCCAGTATGTAGTGATACACGACCGCACGCAAGCATGATGCTCATCCAGATCGAAACGGGCAGGGGTGGGGATTGAACCCAGGATCCCTGCAGGTTCTGCAGCGCGACCTTTTACTCCACGTGCTCCAACCCGGAGTACACTAGCCCACTCGGATGCTTATCCCTTGGCTGGCACTCGGTACTTCCGAAAACCGGCAAGCTACCACGAAAGAAGAACAGACGACGAGACGAACAAACTATATCACAGGCCGAGTTTCTTGGTTCTGCTGATGACGGTGCTACTCCCTTTGCATTTTAGAACTACCATCTAATACATATGTGTTTCAATTTTCAACATGCATATACAGTATAGTTATGAAACAAACAACAACGCATAGTGATATAGATTTTCAAGCCAGAGGTAGAGGGGGGGGGGGGGAAGGGTGGTAGCAGACCTTGAGATAAATTCAGAAAGAAACCATGCTTTGCTCGCACTTTATTTAGAAAATTAAAAATAATCTTATTCAACATAGCGACCAACCAGCAATGGAGTCCTTTAAAAATCGTTCACACAGCTACAATTTGTTCCCTCCCGGCGAGTGCAGTCCAGTTCTGCCAGTCACATGTCTTCACTCTCACACAGGGGGCGCTGTCAGGCACGTTCCTTCCTAACCACCCCTTCGGCCACCAGAAAGTCGTAAATCTTCCTGGTCTTATTGACATCTATTTTGATGATTGCCCTGGCGTTGGCCAGCCGCAGGCAGCCCAGCTTTTCGTACTCGCTGATGAGCAGGGACTTGAAGAGCAAGTACGTCTCCGGAACCAGCCGAAGGTTTGCGCACAGCTGCCGCAAGAACAGAGTGACACTGTCATTAAAGAGCAACGACAGTCGAAAAACAAAGTGGTCTGTCACAGTTTGGTCAAGATAAAAAAAAATATCTGCAACTTCAGGACCAAGTCTTGATTTGGTTCTAAAGCAGAAATCATATCGTCTCGAAATTGTGTCGAAAGAACAACTGTCCGAATCACATTCCAAATTTATCAAAGGTCAGATACCCCATGAAGTCACGAAGCATTTCTAGAAGGTGTCTGATAATGCTGATTATTAGACTAATGATAAATACAAGCTTTACTGTCAGCTTTAGAGTGTGGACGGTGCGTCCATCGCGGTTCTCGGTCCAGGAACAAGTGCCCGAGCTCTCACTAGCACGCGATTGTCACGAGGCTCGCGGCATCGGCTGCTTAGTCCACCTGCCGGTGGCGCCGGTACATAACACCTCTTCCCCCTCAGATGTAGCTCCCATAGCGTTCTGGAGGGTGCCTATTTCTTGGAGGTTGCTCCCTTCTTCCGCTTCCGGCGTCTGTCGTATGTTCCGGCGTCGTCTCGGAATTATCTTGAAATGACGATCTCTCGGTAGGGTGATCCTGTTGAGAGTCCGAAACAGGAGCAGGAACAGACCACTCAGCCGATGGAGTCGATGTCGTAAATCGACGCCTTATTTGATCCACGTGGCGGCGGGTTGATCCAGTTGCTGTCTCTACCAGCCAGGAGCGAATTCCAAGTCTTTTGGTCAACTTCCCTTGGATCCACTTGGGGGTTCCTTTGAAGTTTAGGACATAGACTGCCTGTCCCTCTTAAAACACCCTAGACGGCGGTGTCTTTTCCATATCTCGTTCCTTGTGACTACTTTCTCGACGAGGAAGGAGTCTACTGATGTTAGTAGCAAGCTCCCTGTTGAACATCAAGAATGCTGGTGTTTTTCCTGTCAAGTTGCAAATTGAGTTGTGTTGTTTGTACAGGAATCGAGCGATTCTCAGTGACAGCGATCCCGTTTTTTCTCTTGTCAAACTTTGCTTAAGTTCGTAAACCATGCGCGCGGCTTGACCATTTGTCGCTGGATGGTACGGAGCGCTGGTCACAAACTTCACGCCATTCTTTTCATAAAAGTCTGTTATCTCCTTGGATACGAAGACGCTTCCGTTGTCGGAAACAATCTTGCGAGGCAGTCCAAAAGTTGCGAACATACCTCGGAGTTCTTTGATGACCGCTGCAGATGTGGCACTAGTCATGCTTCGCACTTCTAGCCACTTCGTGTAGGCATCTACAATGACAAGGAACATGTTTCCTTCCAGAGGGCCTGCAAAGTCCAAATGCAGCGTGTCCCAAGGAAGTGATGCGTGATCCCACGTAGGAAGCGGTGCCTTGCTTGGTATCTTCCTGGACTCTTGGCAGATGGGGCAGCTGCCAACAGCATCCTCTATGTCGCGGTCGATGCCAGGCCACCACACATAGCTGCGTGCAGATGACTTCATGGCCACAATTCCCTTGTGTCCAGCATGCACTAAATTCATGGCTTCAGGACGTGCCAAGGCTGGTATGACCACCCGGGATCCCCATATGACACATCCTCTTTGAGTGGACATCTCTGCGCCTTTTTTTCTGTACGCGGTAAAGTCCTTTTCCGTGAGCTCATGAAGCTTGCCTTGCTGCACAGCCTCGTAGACGCGGGGCAGAATCGGATCCGCGCATGTCATGGCTGCTGTCTTCTCTGCTGTCAGCGGAGAACTTGTCAAGGCTTCAATCATCAGGACGTCTCCCGGTGAGCAAGGCTCGTCGTCACTGTCAGGTAGGGGCAGACGGCTTAGAACATCCGCGTTCTGGTGTCGTTTTCCAGGCCTGTACACGAGTTTGTAATCGTACGCCGATAGTTTGACGCACCATCGCCGCATTCGGGGTGACAAGACTTGTGGTACCGGCTTCTGCGGTCCCAAGATGCCAAGCAGTGGTTGGTGATCGGTGATAATAACGACACTTCGTCCGGCGATGTATTGGTGAAAGTGCATCGCCCCAAACACCACTGCTAATCCTTCTCGATCAAGCTGTGAGTAATTTTTCTCGGCATCCCCTAGAGTTCTTGACGCGAATGCGATTGGAGCTTCCCTGCCCTCGTGGTCGACCTGCGCAAGAACTGCGCCGACGCCATATGGTGACGCATCACAGGACAGAAGCAGTGGTTTTGACTCATCGTAGTGAGCCAACGTTGTCTTGCGAAGTATTAACTCTTTCAACTTCCGGAAAGCGAGGGCATGGCGCTCTTCCCAGTGCCAAGGGACGTTCTTGGCTAGTAGTCTGTAGAGATCGCAGGCTACAGTCGCTCAGTTTTCTAAGAACCTGTCGTAGAATGCGAGCATTCCGAGGAACGACTGCAGCATGGCTTTTGACGTAGGTTCTGGCAACTCCCTGAACGCCTTGATCTTGTCGTTGGTTGGATGAACACCAACCGCATCGATCGTGTGGCCCCAGGTAAGTGACCTCAGGAACGCCAAATAGGCACTTCTCACGGTTTGCTCGCAGGCCAGCTTCTTGGAGTCTTGATAGGACAAGGTTCAGGTGCTGGGCGTGTTCCGAGGTTGTGGCACCGCTGACAATGATGTCATCCAGATACAGGCTGACACCGGATATCCCTGCAAGTGTTGTCTCCATGCATTTCTGGAAAATGGCTGGTGCTGCCGAGACGCCGAAAGGAAGTCGCTTGACACGATAAAGGCCCTTTATCGTGTTGATGGTAAGAATGTCAGCTGTGTTCTCGGTGACTCGTAACTGCTGGTATGCTTGAGCCAGGTCGATGGTGGAAAAAATTCTCCCTCCCCGCAGCTTTGCGAGCACCTCTGTCACTGTCGGCAGTGGGTATGACGCCTTGAGCGTCACAGCGTTGACGGTGCTCCGGTAGTCACCACAAAGTCTGATGCTGCCGTTTTTCTTCCTTACTACTACAACGGGTGTTGCCCAATTCGAGTGCTGAGTCTGTTCAAGGATGCCTTGTTCCGTGAAACGTTACAGCTCGGCTTCCACCGCTGGTTTGAGCGCGAATGGCACAGTGCGAGCTCGTAGAAACTTGGGGGACGCGTTGTCTTCCAGTTCTAGGCTTACCGCTGGTCCGTTGTAGCCGTTCAGGTTTCCGTCAAAAACTGACCCGTACCTTTCGATGGTGGCTGTCAGGCTGCCGTCCAACACCACCTGGTGCACGCCGCTGAGGCCAATTGCCAGGGCTGCAAACCAATTCCGCCCAAGAAGTTTACATCCGGGGTGCTTCATCACAAGAAGAGGCAAATTCACTTTCAGTTTCTTGAACTGGACCATGACGTGAATTGTTCCCAGAGAGCTCTGCGTACCTGGCCTTCCCCAGACCAGGTACGCAGAGCGATGTTATCGTCTGTAAATTCCGGAGGGTTTCTTCGCCACGCTGCTCGGAAAGTTTGTTCGCTGATCAAAGAAAACGCCGCTCCCGAGTCCACCTCAAATCTGAGAGGAACACCCTGAACCTCCAGGCTTATCATAACCTTCTCTGCCGGCTCCCGCCGCGGTGTTACGGCGTACAAGTCACCCAGCGTGCCTGACGGTTCCGTAAAGGGGCCATGATTTTCCTGTGGTTCGAGTGCCTGTACGGAGTTTTGGTTGTTTTTCTTTCTCTTGAAGCAAGCTTTCGCGATGTGTCCCATCTTTTTGCAGTACCGACACTGCGATGTTCGGAACTTGCAAGAACTAGGACTGTGGAGTTCTTCGCAGCGATAGCAGGGCGGGGACGATGGCGTCGTCTTCTCCTGGCGACGATGCGCCGGACGCGTTTTTTCTGCTTTGTTTATTTCTTGAAAATCTGCTTTTATTTGCCGCTGGTGGTCCTTGGCGCTCTCGACTCGTACGGCAATGTCGGACGCCTTGAGAAACGTAAGGTCCCGCTCCGCAAATAGCCGCTGCTGGAGATTTTCATTTTGAAGACCGCAAACAAAACGATCGCGCAACATTATGTCCATGGGTAACATCGTCGCGTTGCTGGAAACCGCTGTTGTGACCATGCTGACCGTGCCGTCGGCTGCCCCAGCAGCTAGCGCTGAGACGGAAAGGCTAGCTGTGCTAGTTGTCGGAGTCACTTGAACGTTCCCAAAATTGCAGTCTGCTGCAAGTTTCTTAAGAGCAGCGACGTAAGTGGTCACTGACTCTTCGGGCTGTTGATCTCGCCGTTGGAACTTGCAACGGCTGAACAGTTCTGCCGGCCGGGGATCAAAATGTGCTTGGAGCAATTCACGATCTCCTCGAAAATCAACTCACTTGGAGACCTGGGAGCCACCAATGCCTTGACCGTTTCAAATGTGGAGGGACCACACAGAGTTAGCAGAACGGCCCGTTTCTTGGTGCCATCCCTGATGCCGTTGGCCTCGAAGTAGTAGATGAGCCGCTCCGCCCAAGATGACCACCCCTTTCCCGAGAACGCTTCCATGGTGCCGTGAGTCGCCATCTTCTCAAAGCCGCAGGTTCGTTCCTTTCACTCGTCGCCAATTGATAAATACAAGCTTTACTGTCAGCTTTAGAGTGTGGACGGTGCGTCCATCGCGGTTCTCGGTCCAGGAACAAGTGCCCGAGCTCTCACTAGCACGCGATTGTCACAAGGCTCGCGGCATCGGCTGCTTATTCCACCTGCCGGTGGCGCCGGTACATAACAACTAATCTGTATGCATTACTTCCAGATATTGAGGTAAAGTTCTGTTAATAATGTTTTATCCATGACGTAGCTTTTATGCTGAAATATGAAAATGTTCACTCATGGTTGGACTGGTCCCCCAACCACAAACGAGACAGACTTCAACCTGTTGGTAAGTTCTGTTTTATGATAATAGACCTATTGCTATATTACCCAAGCACCAAGGAGAATGCAGGGATTCGTACTCCACGCGCCACACGCGCACGCCTTCCTCGTATAAAAGATTCGAAGTAAATAACCAAAATAAAACGACGGACATGCGTGAAAGATGCCATTTGTTTTAGGTATTTGCTTTAGAAAAGTTGCCACTGCTGACGCCAGCACGTACAGTGCGTGGAATACCAATCTCTGCATTCTCCTTGATGCTGGAGTAATATAGCTATAGGTCTATTAGCATATGTACCGAAATTTCTGTGACTCGCAACTCTATGCGCTTTACCTGCCATGCAGGTAAAGGACATAAAGTCACGATCCGCACGAAGGCGACTCCGCAATTGTCGACTGCTCGGTACGAGCAGTATCATAAAGCAGCGGTCGTGGCGGCGTGCGCATTCTCTGAACCAAGCGTGGCAAGACCACGTGGGTAAGACGCGAGATAAGGCGTGCAAGCCATCACGGGCGCCGTTTCACGCCGCCGCCAGTACTGAGCGGTCAATGATCGCGCAACCACCTTCGTGTGTATTGCGACCGTATCGAGAGGATAATGCAAACGTGGTTACACTACCTCGCGTTCGTTGGGTGTCAGCTTCTCGTAGCCGAGCAGACCTTCCACTTGCAACGGCGGGGCACGACGACGACCTTGAAGCACCAGACGGGGTTGGGGTTATCATTACACCGTCACAAAGTCAAGCCAATGGCCGAAAACCTCTACACTATTTGCTGACACACGAAAAGCACCTTGCCAGGCGATTCCGAAACAGCTTATCATCACCACACCGTATTCTCAGCTGTCAGTGACGTAGAAAGGCTTCAAAAGTGGCGGCTAATGTTTTCCAAGAAACTTTTTGGTGTTAAGTGCTGATGAAGCATCTTAGCTAAAAGGTCAGCTGCCACTCTGCAGGGTGAGTTTGGCAAATTAAAGAAGGACATACACTGTCACGTGAGAATATTTAAGTTTGTGCACAAAACAGGACTGTAGGCGGCAAAAAGCTCAGAGTACACACTGTGACAATACTGCAAGCACCAACCACAGTTCAAAATCTTGGCATTGTAAGCAATGTGAAAACAACTGGAATATGGTAGTGCTCTCCAAAGAAACCTTGCGAGGCCAAGATAGTCAAGTGCGCACAACAAGTCGTGCCACTTAGTAGAAAGTTCTCGTGGACATTAGAAATATGGCATTCAGAGTCAGTGGGCCTTTTAAGTTATTGCGTAAAACACCTGAGAAGCACTTCATGCAAAGGGCTCAAGATAAAAAAGGAAACTACCCCTCAAGACACACGGTCCAGCAGTGATATCAGTCGCTTGTGACATAAGACTAAGATCGCGGGTATATGAAAAAAACCTAAATGGAAACCAGGGTGCCCAATGCTGTATTGATTGCTTCCTAGTCTGAACCCCAATGCCTGATCGAACAGTCTCTAAAACACAATTTATTTTATGTCTCGTTCAAGTCAAACACCAAAATCTATCCAAATGATACTAAAATAATTTTGAACAAACTGTTTACTTAAATGTTTACCAAACAGTACAGTTAGGCACCCCAACATGCTCCAGGTCACAGTGGCTTTAATCCAGCAATGGGCAGGACACAAAGTACTGTCCAGAAGACAAGAGGTCTTACTGATCTATACCAGACACTGAATATGCGTTGTGCCGACAGCGTGGTAAACCAATTCTCACCAAGTAGCCTGGGAGACGTTGGAGACATGCAGGCATCCTTCACCAGTTGTTTCTGCAGCCAGAGTTGGGTCGACGTCTCGTCCTGAAACAGAATGCGGCATTTTTGCAGGTCACAGGCGGAGCTCTTCCAAGGTAGCTAGCTACCCGGAGTTAGGGTGGTTCCTGTTACAGGCAAGTCAGCCGCAGTCAGGCAAACTCTTTGGTATGTTACAATGTCAGCACCAGGGACGGATTTAGAGGGGGGGTCCGGATGTCCTGACCCCCCTCTTGATTTTTACATGTGTAAAATTTAGGGCGTAAAACAAACCCCCCCCCCCCCCCCCCCGCCCCCCCTCAGGGAATTCCTGCATCCGCCCCTGGTCAGCACTTCATGCAATTATCATTTTTCAGTACCGTGCAGTACCAGAACCCATTCTTCCATTAACCACAAATTTATTAAAAAACACCCTAAGGACAGGTTTCTCTTGCCTTTCTGAAGAAGAGTGCGTGTGCATAACTTTGATCCGCGCTTAGGGTGCACAAGCGCCTGAGCACCCACAGCTTTGACTGCACAGCCTCAGAAAGTGTCTCCGAGTCTATGGAGTGTGAGACCTGCGGTGCGCCGGCTCATCGGCTTCTTAGAGTATTAAGCTATGACTTACTACAGAAATGCAGTAAGTGCATTTTGTGCACAAAAATTTCGAAGAATAAACTTAACCAAGTAATTAGCAAGAAAATATGAACTCATTCTCCCTAACTACACATACGTCTGCAAACAATAGATGTCGTCTGAATGAGCCGATGATCAACAGATGGCGGCATCTGTCAGTCGTTGCATCTCACTTCTAGTTCCAGGACTAGAAATCGGATGTTCCCAGAAAAAAAAGTGAAAGCCGTTTAACTCCCTATAACGCCGAATTAGAGCACAGCTCTTGAGAAGGAGTAGGGAAGGGTGGTGAGGGGGGGGGGGGGGGGGGGGGGGCTGCTGACGTACACAGATAAGGTAAAGAAGGGATTTTTTAATGTTGCCAGTAGAGTGTCGTCTTCTGGTACTTACGCAGACGGCATAATTTTAAAATTGAATAACTCCACGGAAAATTTTTATTTTTATAAAATATTTCGGTTAGCATTTGAGAAAGGGTTATTGATGCAGTCTGCGGATCTTCAACCAAATGGAAGGCTATAAAAAATTGGCAGGGTTCCCCTTAAAGTGGAACTTCACCGACCAACCACTCAACTTCCCACATAAAATCCTACGACCAAAGTGAAATGCTTTTCCAGCTTAGACACAATATCTGAGCCATGTGCAGACCAACAGCCATGGGCCAGGCAATCCCACCTTTCTTCTGCACCCTCACCAAACGACCATTTTGTCACAAAAGAGATGCAAAAAGAGGCAGAAGACAGGAATGCGGAGACACAGCCAGAGAACCCCGTCACCTTGATGTGCGAGAGCAGCTCATTGAAGGCCGTGTGCTTGGGACGGTGGGCGGCCCTCCAGCGACTGCACTGCTTGTACAGGTGGATGCTGTCCAGCCTCGTGAGGCCCGCCTGCCTGGACTCCTGAAGCAGCTTCACCTGCTGCTTCAGAAGCTGCTCACCTGCGTTGGAACATCCCAAAGTTCTCCTAGGCCTGCCTATTGTTGGGCTAAAGTGCAAATTCGGACGGCCAAATGCCGGCATACAGCTCGGATCTCTGCATGGCAGCAGATCCTCACGGAAGAAAAGGGATTATCCTCTCGGGGAGGAGAGGCAAGAGAAGGAGGGAGTGGAGAAGAAAAAGTAAGCTAAAGGGGAAAGCATGAGCATGGTATCCAGAAGCGTTGTATAACGAGAAAGAAGACATAGCCATAACGTGCACCTGACATCAACAAAGGTAATAAAAAAAGAGCGGAGCCCCTTGCTTATTGCCTGCCGCCCCCATCACCACCCGAGTCGGTCGTCCACTCCTTCATTCTGACGCAAGACACAAGCTTTTGGCTAATAATTATAGTTCTTTATTCAGACTCAGAGGGGATGACCGAGGCATGCCGGGACGCAGGAAGGCAGCGCTTCCCATGCAGAAGAGGCATGCGCACCCAACCTGGGGCCCATTGTTGCACAGGCACGTGATAGGCAGTCTTGGGTAAGTTACTTTTAAAAAGTAATTCGTTACAGTTACAGTTACTTTCTGAAAAATGTAACGAAGTTACCGTCACAGTTACCGCAACAAAAGAGTAACTCATTACAGATACAGTTACTTTTAAAAAGTAACGACGTTACTTTTCAGTTACTTTTCTATAACACAAAAAAAAAAATAGGAAAAACTAGAAAACGCCCTTCACCAAGTTTTATTGCATAAAATTAAAAAGTATGCCTTTTACTTCATATTGTAACTTAGCAGAAGTTACTTCTCGAAATTAGTGTTTGAAAATTTCCACGCCAGAGTAGTGGCGCAAATCAAAATATGAAACATGCGCAGCGCGGAGTACTGGCGCTGATCAAAATACGAAACATGCGCAGTGCCCTCCGCGTGTATTGTTGTTTCACGGTTGATTCACCCGATTAAAAAGCGTTTTCACAGAAAAAAGAAAAACCGCAATGTAGATAGTGGTTCAAGACACTAAGATGTAAAGGCTCGTTCACACAGACCAGTTTTCTTACGTTACGTTACGAAAAGTCACTGGGAAATATGTGCTTCGTTTCGTATTAAGCGTGGCGCCAAATTCAAGGAGATAGCCTGGCATGCGACATTCTATACACGAATGGTTCGGTGACGACGAGCTAGGATGGTGAGTTACTGTGGCAACGAAGGACACAAGGCTCGTCATAACGTAACGTAAGGAGTTGAGCTCGTTTCAACTTTTCACACTGTACCGTTTTCTTACGGTACGTCTACGTTACCGAAAAATCTGTGTCTCGAATGCCGCGTGCTAGGCTATCTCCCTGAATTAGTTGCCACGCTTAATACGAAGCACACATTTCCTGGCGACTTTTCGTAGCGTAACGTAAGAAAACGGGTCTGTGTGAACAAGCCTTAAGTGTTCAGTTAAAAGTACAAGCGCGTGCAAAATGATAACTAGATTTGTTTTCATGAAATCTACACGTGGCTATATTCGGGTCGTGACTCGTGAGAAAGAACATATTCACAAGTTTGTGCAAGGCCAACTTGACACTCGAAATGTCTGAATAGACGATTTGAAAAGTGCAAGGAAAATCTAAATTGTACTCGTTCAGTGATATATTATTCATAAAACACTGGAAAGTAACGAAAAAAAGTAACGTCGTTACTTTCATCGTTACCTCACAAAAAAGTAATAGAACCACAGTTACAACTTACATTTAAAAAAAGTAACTCGTTACAGCTACAAGTTACCAAAAAAGTAACGAAATTACAGTAATGCGTTACTACCCAACACTAATGATAAGATATATAAAAAAAAAAAATTATATAAGCAGATGGTCATTTGCTAACATAATTTTAAATATATTTAAATTTTTTGTAAGCAGATGGCACACAGAAAAGAAAAGAAAAGTAATGAAACATTTATAACATCACCCACGAAGCTGATAATCAAGTAAACTCAATTACACGTAACGTGCACCGCTCCGAGGATGTTCGTCACTATGTAGTACCTTATATGTCCCGAGAGAAGACTTACCAACAAAAAGTATTTATTTATTTTACTTTCAGGGAGGCATTACAGAGGGGAGTAAGAAATAAAAGTACAAAAAGTGAAGCACAATAGTAACAATGTAACAAAAAAATAAATACTCAAACAATAGGGAACTGGTAGCTAGGTATAGCAGTGGAAAAAGAGTGTATTCCCCAACTGGTGTTAGTGATGCAGGTAAGTGATTCCAATCATTAGAAGTTCTAGGAATTAATGATGCCAAAAATTAATTGGAGTGGCAAAATGGGACACCGACTTTGTGACAATGATCAAGACATCCGGAAACAAACGATGGTGGGATTATTAGCTGCACACTGAGTTGAAGAATATGATTATAGATTTTTATGAAAGCGACAAATATGAGAAATTCTGTGACGATGTGCAAGACTTCGAAGTAATAAAGTATTTCTCATTGATGTGACACCGGCAGTGCGATTGTAACTCACTACCAGAGGTCGGCATTTTAGGTCGCCCTCACTCACTCTCACCCTCACAGCCACACTCACCTAAGCCCTTCATTCACCTTCACAGCTACACTTACCTTCAGGCCCTCACTCACCCTCATCCTCACAGTCACACTCACACTCAGCATTTCACTCACCCTCACTGAACCTCACGGCTGTCACTGCCCTCACGCACTCACCGCCCTCACACACTCATGGCCCTCACGCCACTCACCGCCCTGATGGCCCTCACACCCCTCACGCACTCACCACCCTCACGGCCCTCAAACCCCTAATGCCCCTCACGCACTCATGGCCCTCATGCCACTCAGGCCAGCTTCAGATGGGGCAATTTCGCCCAGAAACTTGACGTCGCAACACCAGCAACACGGGCCGCCCGCGATCACACGCAGCAACCAATTGCTGCAATTTGCCATCATCATCATGAAATTTTAATTTTCTTGCAATATTTAGACACAATTATGCATTCTAAACATGTTTTTATGCATTTAAATCTCGTTGAGAATACTAATGTACCTTTCTGAAACAGTTTATTTCTAAAAACGATTGATTTCAAACCAGAGCCAAGTCTTTCAGTGTCATCATCTCCGGCACGAGGTATCACATGAAATTTTGTGTCCCTGATTGGATGCAGCCGCTTCAGACGTCTTCGAATTGCTCCGAGTTGCTTGATTATTTCAAGCCAGACCCCATCTCAGCAATTCGTGTCGATCTAGGGAAGGCTAGAGAACAACCCGCAAAATTACTGAGAAAGATGCTCCGTCTGAAGGGGGTCTCATGCACTCACCGCCCTCACTCACTCATGGCCCCCACGCCCTCACGGCCCTTACGCACTTGTAGCCCTCACGCCACTCGCCGCCCTCATGTCCCTCACGCACTCACAACCCTGATGCACTCATGGCCCTCACGCCACTCACCGCCCTCACGCCCCTCACGCACTCATGGCCCTCACACCCCTCACGGCCCTAACGCCCCTCATGCACTCATGGCCCTCACGCCACTCAGGCTCGTTTCAGATGGGGCAATTTCTCCCAGAAACGTGACGTCACAACACAAGCAACACAGGCCGCCCGCGTTCACACGCAGCAACCAATTGCTGCAATTTGCCATCATCATCATGAAATTTTATTTTTCTTGCACTATTTAGACACACAGTTACATGCTATAAACGTGCTATTGTGCCTTTAAATCTCCTTGAGAATACAAATGCATCTTTCTGAAACAGTTTATTTCCAAAAACGATCAATTTCAAACCAGAACCAAGTATTTTGTGGTCATCATCACCGGCACGAGGTATCACGTGAAAATATAGCGTCCCTGATTGGATGCAGCCGCTTAAAAGGTCTTCAAATTGTTCCGAGTTGCTCGCTTGTTTCGAGCCGGACCCGATCTCAGCCATTCGTGTCGATCTAGGAAAAGCTAAGGAACAACCTATCAGCAACACCAAAATTGCTGAGAAAGTTGCACCATCTGAAGAGGGCCTCACGCACTCACCGCCCCCACGGCCCTCACGCACTCATGGCCCTCAAACCCCTCAAGCACTCACACTCCTCACGCACTCATGCCACTCACGCACTCATGGCCCTCACACTCACCGCCCTCACGCACTCATGACCCTCACGCCACTCACCGCCCTCACGCACTCAAGGCCCTCACACCCCTCACTGCCCTCACGGTCCTCACAGCCCTCACTCACCCTTACACTCATGAATTTTCCTGGTTCTGAAACTCACTCACCCTCAACTCACCTGTGAAGATGAGGGTGAGTGAGGGTGAGTGAGGGCCCTCATGAGTGAAGTTTGCCGAGGTATGCTCGCTACTGTCGAGACCGGTTTTAACGAAGTCACCGGGAATCAGAAATCACTTCAGTATATCTGCTATTTTGTTATAACCGACTTCGGTTATAACGAAGTGCAAAAGGGAATGGGAAATCGTGATCGCTTCGCTGTAGTCACTATTTCGTTATAACCGACTTCGTTATAGCCAGTCTCAACAGTAGTATAAAATATGCAGACCTGTTCGGATGGCTTCAAGTGTGTCCCTGTCTTTAGCATGATTTGCCATTTTTTTTTCAAAACCACTTCTAGTAATTGCAGTGCGTAGCCCGCGGTGGCCTTGGCCAAAACGAGGCTAGCCAGCTATGGCTGGAAATGAGCAATCATTGCTGACTGGGGAGAACAGCCATCTGTGCTTCGTCGCTCGCAATACGATAACAAGTTTGACATATTGCAAAGTACAAAAATGGCATTCTTAAACACTTAATTTTTAATTGATTTGCTCTCCATTTTAGGTGGGCTATTTCTCAAGATATTACGGTAGAAATCTGCTTGGAGCATGAAGGGCCAACCGACCTTTTTCATGCAAAACAATAAAAGCTGGTTCAAACATTCACCATTGCTTACAACTGTGTGCCTTAAAACCTCTTAAAAGGGTACTACAACGAAATTTCGGCACTTATTCTTTAGTCTATACATGTTCAAAGGAACAGTATCACATCGGACACAAAAATATCTTGTTAAAAAAGACACAAAAAGGAATTTTAAAACAAATTAAACGATTAGCAAAGAGCATTTGGTGGATGTCGCTAAAACCTCGTTTGTAATGCCCAACTAGAAACCTTGACAGGTAGTGACGATAACTGTCCCGCCTACCTGACGTCATCCCGACAGCTCTACGGCCAGCACAAGAGAAGAGGGGAGGGAGGAACTCCCACTCGACAGAACTTTTTTTTGTGTGTCCCAGACGTCGTTATTCTCCCTTCACCCTTCACAAGATTATAGAAGATTAACTTGTCACTCAAAATTCACACAAAAGCCGCTTAGGGGTTAGTTGTGGTGGCCCTATCGCTGGCATGCTTCAACCGCTTCAGTGGCTGGAACGGCTAGGGCATCCCGACGACGTCGGACTCGCTGGAGCTTTGCTCCTCCTGAGACAGACTATGTCACGATTGCGCCAGATGTGACATGCTCTTCGCTGACTGCTCTCCGAACGCTTGCCAGAGTGGGCCGTTTATAACAATAAATACAGCCATCAGGCTCAAAATACAAACATGTGATTGTCATTTACGGATATTGTGGATCATATTCAGCCATTTTCTGCACACGACGGGTATATTCCAAATTTCGTTGAAATACCCTTTAAAATCTTTTACAGTGAGAGAGCCCTCTAGCACCGCCTATCAGGTAGCCGTGTAACACTTGGTATTTTCGTATATTTTCTATTTCTTTTCGCGCATCATTCCCTCTTCTCTGGCTCGAAAACCCTTGACCGTGCTATCAGCCACCCTTTTGCACAGATGGTACATAGATTAGATCTCGCACATACCGTAAAACCTTCACCCTAGCAAAATGCAGTTCCTGGGTCACCTCGTAGATGGCACCGGCGCATTTGCTCGTCGTAAGAGATCGCGAGAACTCGGTCGTAAGCAAACGCAAGCGCCTGAAGGAGCCTTAGGCCGCCAAGAAGGTGTAAGACAAAGAAGGAAGTCGGCGTGGACTCACTGTGCAGCCCCTCGACGAAGAACTCGAACTCGTCCGGCGGGAAGAGCTGCATGAAGCGCGCGAGCAGGGAGCTTGTGCGCTCCCCGAGGGTGCTGCCGTAGCGGCGCCAGCTCTGGCTCGTGCGCTGGACACTGACGAGCCCGTGCGTCCGCACCAGCCACTTGCGCCTCGCACGCTCTCGCAGCCGTGACCGGTACACCTCCACCATGGCCAGCTGCAGCTCTGTGCGGACCAGAGAGGTGGAGAAGGGGGCTTGGGGGCAGGGCCGGATTAAGGTAGGGGCTCAGGGGGCTGCAGCCCCGGGCCCCCGACTTTCTGGGGGCCCCCATGCAGCTCGTAGAAAAAAAAAAAAAGCCGAAATTTAAAAATATTTTGGAAAGCGATGTTGCTTTGCCGCAGCATTCGAGAAGAGGGAACGCGCACTTCACGTAGCACACCCCTGTCCCTGTACAAAGCCGGCCCTTTGGGTGGGTGACCGGCCCTTGAAGGTGCTTGTCCGCTTTCTTTTAAAAACGGCTTCGAGCAAACGAAGAAAACACGCGAGGGGCCCCACGATCTGGGGTTTTCGCTCCTCTTTTCTTTTTTTATCAGGAAGGGAAATGTCATAAACACCTCCCCCTTTACGCTACTCGAGCTCGAGTCTCGTGCGCGAAAACACGTGTTTTTGAGCAGCGCTTACACTTTGAAAGTGCGGCCTTTGACGCTGCTGGGGAAGGGAACAAAGCTGCATGCCGCCTCCGCGGTGGTCTTGCCGGAGTACTCCCTAGTTTAAACCAGACGGGAATGGTAAATCTTTTTATTTTGAGGCTATTTCGGTGTGTTAGTTTTACAAACAATAGTGGCCCTCTAGGCAAGTGCACGATTGTTTATGCCGAAGGATGCACACATGATTCCACTTCGCGAGAAGCTGAGTCCGGGTGGCGCGGAGTAATTCCTTTTCGATACACGACTTTTTAGGGAAGTGAGTTTTGTCCATAACAATGAGCTTGGAAGCCCTGCCTATGACAAGCCTTTAGAGATACCATCAGCCTCCAAGAAAAAGCAGCACATGGTAGTAATTTTCAGGATTCCCAGAAATAAAAGAAAGAAAGGGAACTCTTCGAACAGCCTATGAATAACGGTCTTATAGTTACTGGACTTTACGTTTCAGTTGCAGATTGGCCGATTTTGTTGAACAAGAGAGTGAGAGTAGAAGGTAGCCAATCATATCACTTCATTCGTCTGCACCAACCATATTTTAGCGTTTTGTTCAAAGTTACGAAAACTCGCTATATGATGAGGCCTTGTTTTTCCGGCGAGACAAATCCTTCCAAGTCAGAGTCCAAATGTCAGGTCGCAAGTATCTGAGTGGAGCTGCTAAACGAAAAACGAAGTTCGAGAGGGAACAAAGTCAGAAAAGGTTGCCAAAGCTGACTAAATATTTAGCCAGTTGCCCTAAGACATCTTCGAATGAGCCTCTACCATCGGGATCACCAAAACTAAAAGCTGACTCCCAAGTGCAGCAATCCACCGATCATGCCAAAGACACTGGTGAAGAAGCTGACCCACCTCCTCTGCCCTGTCCCCTTCCTGTGACGCGTGAGCCTCTGCTACCACGGACCACCCAGAAACCCGCCACCACAGACACGGGAAATTGTCTCAAGGTCCAGGAGCCCTTCCAAAAGCGTGCTGAACAGTGTTCCACAGGCGTTGGAGACTGTCTGCGGGCAACTGTACTGAGCCGGTCGCTGTCCATGGAAGTGAGGATGTCACAAGAACAGTTGCGTCACCGCCCAGCGATTCTGACGAGTGCGTGGAAATTTGACTCCGCAACCTCTCGAGGTAGGATCCATCAGCGTTGAAAGCGATCCAGCTAAGTGGCCTGATACTGTGCCTGACAAATTTCGAACCGCGTGTATCGAGAAAGGACCGCAGTACTTTCAAAATCAATCGGAATATTACCCCACTTCAGAGAGACAGTACACGAGCCAGAAACGATATCTGTCCCCTCAACTTTTTGTGAGGAAGGCCGCTAACGGGGAGGTATTTGAGCGACACTGGCTCTTGTACTCTCAGTCCAACGGGTCTGTGTATTGTTTCATGTGCAAGCTGTTCGCCGCATCAAACAGTCCTTTTGCGACGGATGGGTTTTGCGATTGGAAAAAGGCTGAAGAAAAGGCAAGAGCCCACGAAGACAGCATTGACCATCGAAATGCTGTTGTTGCGTGGCTAGCTCGCTCTACTGCTCGTGCAACTATTGACAAAGAGTTAGTTCAGCACTTTGTAACCCAACGCGCCTAGTGGAAAGAAGTACTGAAGCGCGTCGTGGCAGTTATTAGATTGCTGGCTGAGCGAGGCCTGGCATTTAGGGGCAGCGAAGAAGCGTTCGGTTCTCACTGAAATGGGAATTTCTTAGGGATCCTTGAAGTGATCGCAAAATTTGACCCCTTTCTCAGCGATCACATCGCTCGCTACGGCAACAAGGGAAAAGGTCACCCGTCGTATCTCTCGAAGTCTATTTGTGACGAGTTTGTTGATTTGATGGTGCAGACCGTAAGGAAACGAGTTGTCGAGGAGGTACAACGTGCCAAATATTACTCACTGATTGTGGATTCTACTCCCGACATTTCCCATGTTGACCAGTTGTCTGTTGTACTTCGGTACTGTTCGCTGGGTAATGTTCCCGAGAGGTTCATTAGATTTGTTCCAATTGAATCGCACACTGGGCAGTACCTGGCAGCCACAGTACTATCCCTTCTTGATACGAACGGCATTTCAATTGGTAACTGCAGGGGTCAGTCGTATGACAATGCCAGCAACATGGCAGGGAAGGAAGTATAAGGGTCTCCAAGCCCAGATAAAAGAGAAAAACGAACTCGCTGTTTATGTTCCATGCTCGGGACACTCTTTAAACCTAGTAGAAACTCGGAGTGTTGACTCCGAGTTCCTACTAGGTACGGACGCAGTGAAGTTTTTTATCCTTACTCAGAAGTTGTACGTATTTTTTTCTGTCTCCCCAAAGTGCTGGAGATATTTTATCAACAGTCTAGAACAGGGAGGAGAGCCATCTGTCCTGAAAAGCCTACCTCACACGAGGTGGTCAAGGCACGCTGATTCGTGCAAAGAAATTGTAAACAACTTCAGGCGTATTCAAAATTGTCTGCAGACTATGATGAGCGACAAAGAAGAGACCTGCGACATTCGCATTGAAGCGCGATCTCTTCTCATGAAGTTGTCTAAGCTTGAAACGGCGTTTATGGCAACGTTTTGGAACGAGATCCTGGAGCGTTTTGACAAGACCAGTGTCGCACTTCAGAGACCTGGTTTAGACCTATCAACGGCTGTTGACCTGCTCAACTCTCTTGACGGGTTTGTGAGTTCTCTCCGGCCTAAATTTGAAGCCTTCGAGGAGAAGGCAATGGCACTAAGCGTAGAGCAGTGTTACCAAGGTAAACTCACTCGAGACACCTCAAGGCAACTCACGGCAGTGGAGGAGGATGCGAGGGCACATGGAAGCAGAAGGTTCGAGGTAGACACGTTTTTGTGATTCTCAACAACCTGAGCTCAGCGCTGAGGACTCGGAAAGCCGCATATACCGATCTCTGTGAAAAATTTCAGTCGTTAAAACTTCTTAAAGAAACTGGAAGCGAAGACAAACTAAGAGAGCAAGCTGATAGGCTCGCTGAAACCTACAAGGAGGATCTTGAGTTGACCTTTTCTACTGAAGTCGTTCAGTTCTCGCCAGGGGCAGATTTAGAGGGGGGTCCGGATGCCCTGACCCCCCTCTTGATTTCTGCTTGTGTAAATTTGAGAGCATAAAACGAAGGAGAGGAGGAGGGGGTTCCTAAACATATGGTACGCTGACCAACACCTGACCCCCCCCTCAGGAAATTCCTGCATCCGCCCCCGGTTCTCGCACTATCTGAAGAGTTGCGTTTTACGGATACAAGTGCACGAGGACTTTTACAACTTCTGCAGGAACGAAACATTGTAAGCGTTTTCCCCAGTGTTTCCATTGCCCTTAGAATATACCTGTGTATTCCTGTATCGAATTGCGAGAGCGAACGGTCATTTTTGAAGTTGTGCTTAAGAATTGCCTTCGCTCCACTCTCAGCGAGGAAAAGTTGAATTCTCTAGCCATCATGTCTATCGAAAGGGATATATTGCGGCAGATATCTTTTGACGAGACGATATCTGAATTTTCAAGCTTGAAGAGCCGCAAGATGCCGTTTTGAATGTAAAGTTAGTTCGCATTCAGATTTTTGCTGGTTGTGTTAATAATTGTTGTATTTAAGACACCCGTGACAAACACTGCTGTTTATTCCCTCTTTCATTTTATTGCACGGAAACATGTAAAACGGTCCAACATGATGGCCCTTTGCGTTCCTTTGCAACGTAGGGAAACTGACAAATCACAGATATCATTGCATTGTGTATAATATGCGATATGTACGCATTGTATAGCTAAAATCTGCATTGTAAATATTGTTAATACCTGTATATTTGCGGTACCTTTTTGCACTTTCATTCAATTTCGAGCGTGATTGTTTGAATAAAATATGTTTCTCATGGAAAAGGTTTTGTTCTGCACTTCGGTCTATGCCTACGTGGCAGAGCGATCATTGTTGACAATCGAAACTCAACAAGTTATCCCTTAGACGATAATCAAACGCGAGCTGTAATGAATGTGTCGATGACACTAAAAAATATAGACTCTACTTTCTATTGATTAAAAACTAAAGAAAACTGCAGTATTTCCCAGGTTCATTGCCTTAACCAGACCGCATTATCATCATCATCGTCGCCATCATCATCATCATTAGGGAACCTGAAGCGTCCTTAGCCCAGGGCCCTGAAATGCCTTAATCCGGCTCTGCTTGGGGGGGTCACACAACTACTCTCGCAGCGATAGTACTTACAGAAATTGCCACGAAGTGTTTGTTTATTTATTTCAAATACCCTTGGGGCTGCATTGCAGAGGGGAGCGGGTTGCAGGTATCAAACAGAAAGAAGAAACAACATCTAAGGATGGAAATAATCAGCTGTTAATAAAATACTACCGACATTGTTTGGACACTTTTAAAGGTGACATCGTCAGATAAAGCTAACGCAGAGGCTGGAAGGAGGTTCCATAAAAGCGTGACTACAGGATAGAAACAACTGTGAAAGGTTGTACGTTAATCCCTCGTTATAACGAAATCGCTTTTTTCGAATTATCACTTTTCTCGAAGATCAAAGTGGTCCCGACCAAAATGCACACATTTTTAACCGGATCATTCTAAGTATATCGGCGGCCGACCACGCTTATTACGAAGGCCGCGGTGCCGAAAGCATGCAAGCCTACACGGGGGCACATGGAGACCCTTGCATTGCCTCTCCCTTTTCCACTGAGGCAAACGGCAAACTGGAAAAATGGCAATGGAGGGCCAAGCGCGCAGAGCGCCGCTTTCGATGCCAATGTGCCGATGTGGGGATGTTGGCAGAAAGCAGTGGCGCAGCAAAAGCAGCAACCACTTTCGACGCTACACGCAACGCCCGCGGCCAATGCTACCCAGCTCTCGTCGGAATTGGGTCAAGGGAGCGACGAAGCCCGGAGGAGATCATCCCTTCAGGAGCCCTTGACACGCGGACCTGTGGCATACTACGTGCAGATGTGTGTCGTATGAGAGATTGGGAGTGTTAACCAAAAGTCACTTAAATCCGCAAGGTTGAGAAAGGTGGCCGGCCCAAGTCTGAAATCGCCAAAGAATTCGACATTCCGGCATTGGCTGTTTGACACTGTCCACGATTTGGCAGAACAAGCAAGGTATTGGACGGGTTTGAGAAGTTTCTCATGCAAAAGAAAGCGGGCTTGCAACCCAAAGATGAAAGATCACCAATTGCTTTGCGACCATTAGATTTTCTCCCGTGAGCATGTTTGCCGAGCCGGCACACAATTCCTGGAGCTGCAACGATCTCTACAGGAGGGTGTGAAAACATGTTGGCAAAGCCACCGAGGAGAACTTTGATTCGTTCGTGCTTGTCGATGCGGACGTTTCTATTGTTGCTCCTGCCACGGATGCCGCGATCGTAGACCTTGCGTGCGGCCAGGGTAAACACGAAGCGACGTCGGAGAGGCACCTTGGGAAACGCTGACGACTGTGGAGACGTAAAACATCCTAAGGCCGCTTCGAAACAAAGTGGAGTGCAGCGGCGGTGACTGTGTTCTTGCGATGCTTGGAGCAGTTCGAGGAGAACTGATGCCCAGATGAAATTATCGGCAAACTCCACTTAATTATTTTTTTATTCGGTAAAGCTGCCACAAAATGTTCATAACCAAGGTTCAATTGATTAAATATATGGTCAGAGTGTACCATAGTGTTCCCGTCCACCTTCAAGACCGCTAACACTGTTCTTGTGGCTTTATAGCTTTTATCGAATTACAGCCTATATGGAATGTTTTTGCCGTCCCGTTGACTTCGTTATAAGAAGGGATCACTGTAATTGTACACGATGGTACCGTATTGCGCATATTCCAGCCTCGACACTTGCTTTGTGCTACAGACCCCTTTCGAAAGTCAGTCTGGCAACTTCAAACACTATGACCATCTCAGTGTGTGGCAGTGTCAAACTAATGGCAGCCTAATTGATGTTGACAAAAGAGGTTTGAAGATACTACCAAGCGGAGGATATACGAGCATCAGTCGTGTTGCGCTGACGCTCGAGACGTCAACACAACACGATGCACGATTTAGATACAACGGCTGCAGAAGCATTTATTTCAGAGTGTCGTCCAATCAATATCTTGCCACAAATTTTTCTCTAAAGCCTTTAGATGGTGGAAATTGAATCAGGGTGCTTTTGGGTTGCCACCTTACGCTGGTCAGTTCTTATGTTCACATTACCTAATTTGAAATAAATAAAAAAAAAGATTACGAGGCGATTGAAGAACCAATTTTTATCCACTATGACGTACGAAAGTGATGGTGCCCTACGAAGTATGGTTTCCTGGCCGCCATGAGTTCGACGAAAGTGAAACCGCTTTTTGAGCCACCAGATGGCAGTGAATCCTGAACCAGGTCTGTTGCTAACCATCTTCAATTTGAACTCGACGAAAAGAGGCAACGCTTACCTCTGTCCAAGTCGTCCTCGCACTGCGTGAAGTCCAGGTCCGTCAGGTCCATCTCGGCGTAGTTGTCGAACTCGCAGGAAAAGTCTCCCCTGGCCGGCATGTAGCCCGCCATGTCCGTCTGCTGCTGCGAGCAGAGTGCAGGTCGAGGCGGGTCCCCTGAAACTGAGACGTGGCACTGTCTACATCATGTGTGATGTTACAGTCACCAACAAAATGTGAATGACAGGGAAGTGTCTCCGTTGTCCCGCCTCCAGCGCCAGCTTCCTACCTTTGATAGCACCTTGGTGCCTCGAGAGTCTCAAGCGTGCAAGCGTAGCCAGATTACGGTGGAAGGCATAGAGCATGTGCTGGATCAATGCATTCGAAAGAAACACCCTGCCATTCCCATTTTAACAAAAACTATAACTAAAACTTTCTTTTCTTTAATCTTGTCAGAAACTATATATGCACCCTCTTCTATCGCAGGGTCCTTGAGGGAATGATGGTGTATTTTGACGTAAATAAATAAATAAGTAAACTCCATTCTAGGGTGTGTTCAGATAGAAACAGTCACAGGGGTGTCACGTCTACTCTTTGTTTTCAATCAAATATTTATAGGAGGTAGCCCAACATGTCCACATAACGAAACAGACCTTGTTTTTGTAAAATGCTTCCTTGTTTCTGCCAAGAAAAAAAAATTGTGTTTCGGGAAAGGTGGAAACAAGACTTTCCCGACTGCGTGTTGATGCAACTTTGAGGGCCCCGGAAATAAGAAAGACAACTTTCTAAACAGTTAATGTTTTTATGTATAATGCACACCAACTGGGCTATGGGAGTTCATTAAATTAATTTTATTTTAGTTTACATTTAAAAATAAAAAAGATTACAAAATTGGCTTCTTGAGCAACTTTATTATTTTGAGGCATTTTTCGGTGAATTTTAAAATGTTCTAAAATTATGTTTTCAAACTGAAACCTTTTGTGCAAAGTACTTAAAGGGATACTATAACAAAATTTCGGCACTTATATTTTGGTCGATATGCGTTCAATGAAGCATTATCAGATCGGACACACCAATTTCTTGTTGAAAAAGACACGAAAAGGAATTTTAAAACAAATTAAACGATTAGCAAAGAGCACCTGGTGGATGTCGCTAATGCCTCGTTTGTAGTGCCCGTCTAGGAACCTTGACAGGTAGTGACGGTAACCGTCTCGCCTACGGCCACCACGAGAAAAAAGGGGAAGTAGGAACTCTCCTTGAGAATTTCTTTTGTGTGTCCCAAAAGACGCTGTTGTCCGTCTACATGATTGTAGAAGATTAACCCGTCACTCAAAATTCGTGCAAAAGCAGCCACTTTGGTGGCTGGAACGACTAGGCCATCCCCTCGACGTCAGCTTCGCCGCAGCTTTACTCGTCCCAAGACGAACTACGTCACGAATGCGTCAGATGTCATGTGGCCTCCACTAGCTGCTCTTTGAGCACTTGCCAGAGTGAGCCACTTTTAACAAAAAATACAGCCACCAGGCTCAAAATACAAACGTTCAATTGTCGTTTACGGGTAATGTGGATGATATTCAACCTATTTTTGAACACAACGGGTATATTTCAAATTTCGTTGAAGTATCCCTTTAAAGGGGAAGCTGAAGAGGTTTTTGAAAAAAAAAACAGGTAGAGGGGAATTCTGGCGTATTTTTGTCCTGTGTTTTCGAACAATACAAGTATTTGACCCGAACGTATCACAAGTAGTGGTGCAAAGCCATCATAGTACTATCGATAATATCCATAGTGGAAGCCATATTTAAATATCAATAATGAAAAAACTATTGATAGTGCTATCGATAGTTAACTATCACAAAACTATCGGTAGCACTATTGATGATATACTACAGCGCAATCCACTTATAACGATAATTAGAAAACCTGAAAGTTCAATCGTTATAACCGATTATCGTTGTGTCTGGACTAGAAAGTGAGCGTTTCTAGTCTAAAATCTCTAGAAACTGATTGTTATAAGCAGGACATCATTATACGTGGTATTGTTAAAGGTGTATCAATAGTATACAGTCGATAGTTGACTATCAATAGCCAAATATTGTAAACTATAGATAGTATACTAGATAGTCACCTATAATAAAACTATTGAATGTATACTATCGATAGTCGACTCTCGTGAAACTCGAAAGCATATTATCAATAGTTAATTATCGTGAAATTGTTTATGGTTGAATACAAAGAAACTATCAATAGCTGACTATCGTAAGGCTATCGATAGTGTTCTATCATGTGATGAAGAGTGCCATGTGTACATTCAGAAAATTTCATGTAGCTCATTGAAAAATGCAACTGTAATTAGAGACTTTCCCATAATTATTGGGGAACAATCTAAAACCTATTGGCAAACAATCAGAAAAGGGTAGAAACCCTTTTTAGAAACTATTGACAATAAACTATCAAAAAAATATTGATTGCATACTATCGAGAAACTATGAATAAAAGATATCAACCTAACAGGTTTTTGGATTTTTTTTTTTTTTTTTGCTGTTTTAGATTGCTTTTTTGGTGTGTGCCCTTTGCTTTTTACAGGCAGAGCTCGGTCAGAAAAATGAAATCCCTGTCGCCCCTGATAAGTAATTGAACTGAGTGTTGCAGAAATCCGGAACCCTACTAGAATATGATGCTAGCAACGGTGATCGAATGCGCAAGTATAGGGACATGACTTTACCCGAATGAAAATACAAGTGTGGCATTTTTTCGAGCCACGCAGGTTGCGAGAAATGAAGCAATATTGCCTTTCAAGTTTAAAAGCTTTTTCCACTGAAATAAAGCCTCATTGGCAGTAATATCATTACATACCTGCCAACCCGTGGACTTTCAAATTCGTAAAATTCCTGCAGTTGCGGGGGGGGGGGGGGGGTACGCAAAGCGATGTGCAGGTTAATGTCAGCCTTGCCACTAGGTGAAACGCTTACATCACACCGTACAAGTGCTACAGAATCCAAACTTCTCTCCCTTTTTGGACGGCACGAAGCACGGGAATTCTGACGTGTGAGACTTCAGGAACACCTGAAAGTACCTCTTTTGAGGTCTGGAGTTCGCCATTGTGCCGCGAAGCCACCGCGACCAGGAGAATGCTACGATTACACGTGCAACAAACACATACGCCGCACTTCTCGCCTCGACACTGGCCAAAACAAAGAGGCCCAACCACGTCTGAACACGCCGAACCAACGTGCGCCGCCGAACACACGAACAAATGCTTTGGGCTTTGGATTGGTTTTGGACCCGCGGCCACCAGATAGACGGACAGTAAAAACCACGGCGCTGCCGTGGAGAGTACCTATCGCCCTCTTGTAGTGGTGCAAGATACAGCCAGCAACAATTTTACAAAAAAAGAAAACGAAAAAATTCGTAAAATTTGAAGCAAGATTCGTAAAATCGTAAAATTAGTCCCAATCTGTACATTTTACGAAAAATTCGGAAGAGTTGGCAGGTATGTCATTACTTGGATCACAGGAAATTTTGTTTTTACTTTTTATTTTCTATATAGTTAATGCTATGTTACCAAACTTAATGTATTTGAAGAATGAAAAAACTAAAAGCATCAGCAACTAACCACGTTGACTTCGTATAAGTTTTTTTTTTTTTTTAATCTTATAATGTTTAGTTTGAAGTCTCCAGAACCAAATGTTTGTTACATTTTTTCCTTCAAAAGTTTTTATTTATAGAATATGTGACGGCGTTAATGGTGTTGGTTGATCGCACAGCGCTACTGAACTGTATTACGTGTTCCTCAAAGGTCTAGTCGTGTACGCTGACTGCTTTATCCTTCAGTTTTACACAACACTGATCCCATTACCCGTCTGTAACTGGTTTTTAACAAATTCGAATCAAACGTAGATAAATTTGATATTGATATTTTTGGATGAAAACAAACATTTAGAAAGTGCATTGACGTTTTTCTCTCATTTTGACATGTCAAAATTTGTCCCTGTGATGTGAATTTTTATTATTTGGACGTAGTGCTCCACTAAAAAGGTCTATGACTGTTTGCGTGCCACTGAAAATGAAGTAAATAAATTAATGAATATATGTTTGCTGTGCAGTAGGTACTTTTTCTAGGCAGTGCAGTAAGTACTTTTTTCTAGGTAAGTACTTTCATTTTGTAAGGTTGCTGAACATATAGTTTGAATATTTTTGCGAGGCATCGCTAGAAACTGGTGACGTCATAGAAGCTTCTGTCCCAACCAATGGCGGGCGTGGCGTGGGTGAAACCAAGGGCTTGTGATATATCATGGTGTTGAGTGGCCAGATAATATGGAGCAAAGGGCGACTTGTCGCCATACTTGATTCACTTGATATTCTATATGTCACTGCCCAAAATTTATAGTGTAAACAGAATTGAAAAAATACTTTTGCCGAGAAAAAATAAAATCTCTAGACACAAAGTTGTACACCATGAAGAGGTGGACACTCGCACTTACGAGCACTGTCGGTGTGGTAATCTGTGGTAGTAAATAACTTCAGTAATAACATAAGGAAGTTAACAAGCTCAAACCACATTTTAAACTGGCGCATGGCGAAGACGCTAGTATTTCTTTGCTTACGCAAAGCTCTTGGGCATGCCATTCTAGAACTTGCAAGGAGCAGTCCCGTCATTTTGAGAAACAATATCTGGGTGCAGCTACATTCTCCTAAATAATATTAGTCAGTCTTTACACTATGTGTAGGTATTCTATAATAAAAGAAAAAAAACTCAAACATGGCACTTTGAATGACTGTTTGTAAAATTTGCAGACCTGTAGCTTACCAGGTCTTTATATAACATGGGCAAACTTTTACTTTAATATATACTTTGTCCACAGCTATAAAATGATATAATAAGTATTTATAAAAATGGCTGTTAAAATATTGGCCAGCAACTATGTGACTAATACCGAAAAACAAAAGCTAACAATACTTTTTTTTAAATTTTCACTTCTATCAGCTATTTTTTTTATCTGCACGACATCTGTGCAACATGATTGAGGAAGGAGGTAGAGCTTCTTAATACCGCCCTTTTCTTTCGGGCTGCACGGGGCCTTTTGCTGCATGGTGTAAACATTACCCAATGTGCGGCGGTCCTACAAACACCAGAGTCATCACTTACGCGGCAGCAAAACATTGGTTCAATAACACTACCTAGATTTTATTTCACTGCCGTTGTGTTTGAGACACAGCCTGTGTTTGTTTCCCCCTCGCATCGAAGTCAACCCAATACGCAAAGGAGATATCCTTACATGCTGTTGACTTAAGAAGCACTCATCATCCAGTTCTGCATGATTATCTCTAAGCAGGGGGATCGGTGGCCGAGTGGGCTAAAGCGCACACCCAGCTCGACGCACGTGGGGGGAAAGCTCGCGATGCAGAACCCAGGGATCCTGGGTTCGAAACCCACCCCTCCCCATTTAAATCTGGATGAGCATTGTACCGGCGTGCGGTCGTGTATCACTACTGCGTGGTGCACGTTAAAGACCCCAGGCTAGCGGTTGTACTGCACTGGCTAAATTGCTCATCTACAGCGTGTGACTCGTCGCAACTTTAATGACTAACCACACGCTGTATAAACATCCCCACAACCCAATTTTATCTCTAAGCATTGAGAGGATGCTTGCTTAGGATTTTATGGTAATAAAAAAAACAGCTCAGTTTGTTTATAATGTTTCATGGTGCTTGCACGTTTATACTATAACCAAGTACGGCCACTGAGGCATGCAGTGCTCAAGTACCTCTAGTCATTAAGAAAGAAACCCTACACCGGTAATGGATTGCAACATACACCAGGCTAAACATTCATTTTTTTTTTTAATTTAAAAGAAAATAACGCAAAATATTTTTGTGGATCTAAAATTACTGGTTGTTAAGGGTTTATCAGAGAAAGTTTTAAGAAAATCTGTAATTATAATTTTTTTAATTGCCGCTCTAAGTTTGCAGAATTCTAACTTCTTCGATTTTCACACACATTACGGGCGCATGAAAGAACACAACAGCAAAACGCTAATTTTTTTTTTTATACATACAATGCAAGGAGTAGTTTGTACAAAAAGATTCAGACTGAAAACATAAATTTAAAAGTTAAAACACCTTAAAAAAACACTGAAAAATGCCTCCAAATGTCAAAGTTGCCCAACAAGTTGAGTTAATAGTTTTTTTCTTTTTAGATATAAATTTAAATAAAATTAATTTAATTAACACTTGCAGACCAGTCAGTGTGTTAGTGTGCATTATCTATAAAATATTAACGGTTCAGAAATTTGTATTGGTTATTCTTGAAGCCCTCAAAGTTGAGTCAACATGCAACTGGGAAAGTTGTTGCTTCCACCTTCTCACAGACACAATTTTTTTACACGGAAACAAAGTAGTATCTTACGAAAGCAAGGTCTGTTTTGTTGCGAGGACATGTTTGGCTACCTCATACAAAAATTTAACTTAAAACAAAAATAGACATGACACTCCTATGACTGTCCTTATCCTGAAACTCCTGTTGGTAATATTTTATAAAGGTTTCACACATTTGCTGTTAACTGTTTGCTACATCCACTAATAATTTTCTGTTGGCCAACCCAGGCATGTCTGCACTCTATATATTATGTTATATGACCATTGATAAGCAAATTAAGGTTTGTAGAATAGCAGCTGAACCCTTTGAATTGGGCAGCAGCTTGCACCGTCTGGCCAGCATGTTTTTTTACATATACTTGTAAAAAAAGTAAGGTATAAATTTAATGCAAACGAAGAGAGGAGCCAGCTTTGAAAGGAGCCAAGTTTCAGTAATGCTCGGAGCAAACTTCAATGTCTGAACAAGTTTAGTGCCCAAAGCGAAGGCTATAGAATCTGCTTGCCAAGAACTTCCCATACAACAGATGGAAGTCATCGGCATGCTGACACACCCCTACCCATATCACTGCATTGCCACAAAAAGCTTTATACCCCTTTAAGGGACAGGTAAACGAAAAAATGATGCTGCTGAAGCTAACTTTCCAGAACTGCTTAGTAAATGAGCATGCACTGGAGGATTGAGGCTTCAGTGACACTCATCGGCACTCTTTCGAGACTCCACAAACTTGCGGAGTTTACGTGCCAAACCAACCAAGGGCATCTGGCACGTCCCAGCGGAGGACTGAGGAATAATTTCGATCACCCGGGGATCTTTTGACGTGCAACCGAAATCTCGCCTTCTCCACAATAAGGCTCCATCAGATTACAGGCACCTCGGTCGGGATTCATAACCGCCAACGGGACATCCGCAGGCCAGCGCTTTGCATCCGAGTCACCGAGGCAGCCTTTTTTTGAGACTTGAATGGGCAAGAAAGGATAACTCACACATTTGCATTTGACTCTGATCGGGTGTACTATGACCTCTCGTAACCACTCTATTGTTTACATATATTTTTTTAAGTGTCTGGGAATGGAAGTGATTTCTCCTCCTCCTACTCCTCCCGTTTCGACAGCCGCTGTGCGCAGGTCAGAAATGTTCGAGGGCTACTCTATAGGTGGTGCCAGTGTGCCACTGTATCGAGCAGTCACAAGCTCACCTTTGTACGCCAGAGGAGCCAGGCTGCAGCCTTCCTCGTACGTTGGCTCGGGGGCAATACCTAGGAAGTGAACACAAACATCGGTGACGTCCAACATTCAAATCCATTGTTCACCTGTGCCTCACAGTTTCAATGAAGTAAGTAGGAGAGGCATGATGTCCAAGGGGTTGTGGAGGCCGACAGCAAAAGCAACTACCAGCAAATACAAAGAAAATGCACACACTCGCATAAACAAAATAAAAGTACAATGCCTAATCATCTGCAACAAAAAAAATTTTGGTACTATGCCCAATCAAAGGAAGCGAAGAAAGCAATGCCCATTATGCCGTAAGGTCATACTCATTACAATTGTGAATGGAATGAGTTGCCTCAGAGCAGTCCAATATGATTTGTTGTGGGCTCCAATTTACCAGAATTCAACCAAGGCTGGTACCCTGAAATCTTTTTGGGTGAAGCAGAAGTAGCAAACGTCCAAAAATATTATTAGCTGGATGATCAAATTTTTCACCATTTTTTTTTCTGGTCCATCATGCAAATCATATTATGACAGTTGCCACAAAGCTGCCTTTGGACGAGGCATCATAGCACAATTTTTAACAAATGTGCCGCAAAACGATGGACGACACTTTTAAAGCAAAATAAATACGCACCTTTGAGCAGATGGTTGGGTGCATAAATGTAATGTTGCAAGTAGTGTGCTTCACACTCCCTGGCTGTCTGTGTGCCCACCTGTTTAGCAACATCGGTCCTGTTAAAGAAATATACACCAGCTGGTTTACACGAGACCAGATCACCTGGGATGATTGCATATAACTAAAGTGAGCAGTGAAAACAATTTGGAATTAAAAGTACCTCACAGCTGGCAAAGAAAGGAACGAAAACCATGTAATTAAAGTTCAATATGCATAGAGTGCGACTGCAAACAATTCATTGGCGCTGTTAGTGTAAACACGACAACAGTGCATATAGGGTATTGTTGAACGACAAATTAGACACAGCACAAATAATAGAAAACAGCACAAATAAACACAAGGACGAAGAGGTACGCGGACACAGCGCTGACTCACGACATTCGTCATCTTTAGCTTCTGTGCGTGTACACGTGAAAAGAAAAGGCATAAAAACGAACACAGGCAGGTCATCGTTTCGCCACGCCATTCATCACCAGTAGCATTGTCCTTCACACAAATTCAGTCCAATTCTTTGATGAAGTCGAACTCACTGCTAAAAATTGTGATGGACCCTGTACATGTGCACTGGTATATGACCATGTGGCTGATTGTAATACGCTTTATAAATCTTTCTAGCCATTTTTTTTATTATGTTTTGCCAGAATTTTTATGTAACCAAACTGGGTTGAACATTCACACCAACCACAATGTACAGCTAAGCGTCCCAATGGTGCAGACCTTCAAGTCAGGAAGTGCTCCTTAGCTCTAACATTTATACATCTCTTCATCTGCCCTATATAAACCCTACCACATGACAGGGGTATTGACCTAGACAGTCTAGCTCAGTGGTTCTCAAATGAGGATCCGCGGACCCTTCAGGGTCCTCGAAGGTATTCTATGAGTCCGCGAAGCCAAGCCACATCTGTCAAGCCCGGCAATTAAATTTGTCTTTTTTTTTCTCAGATTGAGAAGAAACATTCTAATTTTCCGGTGAGTTCTCTCGTGTCTATGCCAATGAGTGAAATCTACTTCACACTAGCCCTTAGTTATTGCATTCATTAAATCATTATCATGATTAAAATATGCCTTTCCCTTCAACTCACCACGAACAAGGTCCTCCATTGTCTCCGTCGATCCACAAGGGGTCCGCAAAACATCAGTGGTTGAGAACCACTGGTCTAGCTCAATGGCTGGGACGATGAAATTCCAACAAACTAAATAGAAGTTGTGAGAAAAAAAAAAATAAGAAGAAAAAAGCAGGTACTATTTGTTTGCACCGTGTCGTGCTTCGTATACTTGGGGGTGCTTCGTTTTCGGTTTTTATATTCTTCGAAGATGGGGGGGGGGGGGGGGGGGGTAAAAATCAGCCGCTTTGTTCCAAGCTGGCAATCGGGAAGAAATCTGGTTTTTTAAGTATCGATTCTGGAATTCTGGTTTTTCAAATTATATTTAGAAATATACAAGTATAACAAAGAGCATTGATCGATTTCAAAAAAAGGAATTATTTATAAATTAAATGAACACAAGACAATATTGGAGCGTGATATAAGAGATAACATGGGGTTTTCAAGCTTTATCACAAATCCTTCTTGCTTACAATACCTTCTGCATGCGCAGCATCTCTGTCTTTACCCTAGACCTGTTCGGTCTTTGGACATATTTGAATTGAGAAAATGTTTTCGCAACACCACAGCTTACATACATTTGCAAAGCACAGCAATATCACTTTGGCTTGACAGGAACGAAATATCTGCTGTTCCTTTCAAAACAGTTTTGAAAATAGTTTCTTGCTCTATTTCTTTTTGTTCCGGTTGGAACGAAGAGGAAAGGATACTTCACAGTAGACTTAAAAATGACATTCTAGGGCTATGTCACTGCAGCTCACTACTGCCAACAGGTTTGTTTTCGAGGACTGAAGCTAGCGCATGTGTTCCTATCAACTCTTTGTTTCCTAAAAAAATATCTTTGGAGTGGATTAATTCGGGAAATGGTGCAATACGATTCCCAAATTTGGTAGAAAATCGGGTTTAACCAGATTGTCGGGAAAGATTTTCGAGCCGTAAATATCAGGGAATATCAGATTTTACCCAAAAACGAAGGGCCCTTGCCCTTCGTTTTGCTTGCCCTTCTCCTCAGAAGCGTGCAAGCAGAGACATTTCTGCTCACCCAACACCTCCTAGATAAAAAAGCTTAAGTGCTGAATTTTCCTGAGTCACTAAATGAAGCCACCTTTGGCCAGAGAAAATTCGGTTGCCTGTATGTTTATACAGCCTAGAACTTGGTCTGCCTCAACGGGCGACGAGTCCCCCAGCTGTAGACGAGAAATTTAGCCAGTGCAGTACAACCGCTAGCCTGGGGTCTTTAACGTGCATCACGCAGTAGTGATACACGACCACACGCCGGTACGATGCTTATCGAGATCGAAACGGGCAGGGGTGGGGATTGAGCCCAGGATCCTGGGTTTTGCAGCACGAGCTTACGCTCCAGATGCTCCGAGCTGGTGTCTGCTAGCCCACTTGGCCACCGATCCCCCTTTGGCCAGAGACTGGACTCAAGTGCAGCGTCAGCGTTCAGCTGGAAATCATGTCCAATCAGTGAGAACATGACTCTTTGCCGAACGCTAATGCAATAGCCGTGTCCAATCTCTGGCCTACCCTGGCCTTTTGTGGTGACGTAGGAGCGTACAGCACTTAGGCTTTCTTATCTAGGAGGTGCTGGCTCGCCTAATACATCCTTTCTCCCCTTCGCTACTCCCACTGTTCGGGAGAGGAGGACCTCAAGAGGACGTTTTGCATTGCAGAAACTTGAAGCTGCGTGGAAAAATCTGTAATTGGTGAAAGAATCTTTGTCTAAATTTAATGAATTGATGCCATGTTTATTACTGGTGACCATAGGTCGGCATTTTAGGACCCACTCACTCACCATCACATCACCAAAATTGGCAGCCCATCAAAGTCATTCGCAATCACATCACCAAAGTACACCGCCATTCAAAAGTCACAGCCCTTCACATCACAGAGTTCAACCGTGCCAAAGACTCATAGCCAATCACATCACGCCCCCTTAAACTCGCCGCCATCATGGTTACTCACAATCACGAGGAGGTCCCACTCACAGCCAGTCATTCACATCGCGGTCCCTCAGAGTCTCCCCTTTCACGGCCACTCACACTCATGAAGAGGAGGCCCCACTCACGACCCCATCACGGCTACTCACACTCACGAGGAGCTCACACTCACGGCCAGCCACTCACATCAAATCACGGCCCCTCAGAGTCGCCCCCATCACAGCTACTCACACTCATGAAGAGGAGGTCCCACTCATGATCCCCATCACGGCTACCCACACTCATTAGGAGGTCACACTCACGGCCCCTCGGAGTCGCCCCCTTCACGGCTACTCACACTCATGAAGAGGAGGCTCCACTCACGACCCCATCACGGCTACTCACACTCATGAGGAGCTCACACTCACGGCCAGCCACTCACATCACGGCCACCCTGCCGCTCACAATCACGGTCTCGCATCCCCTCAACGAGGGGCCTCCTCGCTACGAGCCGAGCCAGCCGAGCGGGCCGGCGCCGGCGGCTCTAATGTTTGTTTTGGTTTGTTCTCAGTTTTTCTTTTTAGTTTTTAACATTGAGCAAGAGGCATCCACGCCACGCAGGCACCACAGCACTCCTTAAAAAAAAAAAAAAAAAAACTATATATACAACAAAGCCATCCCCCGAAAGTTTTTTTTTTTTTTTTTTTTTCCCCTTTTATTTGCATCGAGCGCGAAACCCGCCTTTCCAAGGTCAACCAGATTCGGGACGACAACTTCCTGTTGTCCCCGGCCCCCCATCCCACGGGGAAAACCGCTCCGGGACAAGCAGGGAGCGTGTGCTGCAGCCAGCATGGTTGCAAGCGCTGCGGACTCGAAAGTCGAGACCCCCAACTCTTGTCCGCCGTCTTGTTTCCGCCCATCGAACGTCGTTTCTGGAGTGCAGACCGCGAACTATCCGCGTTGAAATTTTACACGGTGCGGACTATCCGCAGGCTTGTTTAGTATCACGAAACGAATTTTGTGAATGAAGGAGTATGTTAATTTATATATATATATATATATATAAAGTAATGAAGTCGCACTTCGAAACGTATTTTAAATTTACACACACGCACACATATATATATATATAAATATATATATATATATATATATATATATATATATATATATATATATATATATATATATATATATATATATATATATATATATATATATATGTATATTTACACACAGCAAATCGCACCCCCTCACCCCCCCCCCCCCCCCCCAACCTTCTTTTTTACGTTTTGTTGAACGCTCATTCTCCGCCAAAATGCAGCGCTAGAGGTCCGAACCAAGGTAACTAACCGTTATCTTCTTCAAACGTTATTTTTTCTAAAGTGGTCTTGGGAAAATGGGACCCATTTTTGCCCGTTTTCGCTAACTGGCGGCATAGAGCTCCATGTATCCGAGCCATATGCTGAGAAAGTTCGGCAGATGCGTGGAGCTTGTAATCCGCTAAATATAGCAAGAATAAGCCGACCTCGAGATAACACAATATGGAGATTCGTTTTCGCTTCGCCACTTCGCTCTGAGCGAGCCCACTGAAATTTGAGGTTACAAGGAGCGTTATGGAAACATTTCTCGTTCATCGGTATTCTATTACGCCTGTAATTCATCACTGTATTAAAAATAACAAACGCTTTTTATCAATCTCTATATAACAAGACTTACAAAAAAAAACTTTTTTCTTTGTTCGTTTGTTTTAAAACAAAAGCATGGTTTCTCAATCAAAAAGGGTCAGGCAATTTAGAGCACGTGTTCGCAGTCTCAGCATGGCAAACGCTTTCAGCGGTGTTGAATTGTAGCAGTAGTGGGAACATAGAAAATTAATTTTATAGAAAAAAAGGAGGAATGGAAGACGGTAATATTTTTGGAAATCGTTACAGATAGGGAAGTCTGAGCAATTGATTGTGTTGAAAGACATGTCACAACGGACATGGAGTGGCCAATTTAGAGTGGGTCATGTTTCAAGTGAAAGTATAA